AACAACACATTTTTACAGCGTACGTCAAACTGTGTAACGATTATGAACTTGGGTCTAACTTGTCAGACTTACAAAAATGGAGCACCGGTGATGTGAGACGAAAAAAAAGTGGATTTGTTGGAAGATGCCTTAAAGATGCCGGAGAATCGTATTGGTGACTTGATAGCATTACATCGTTGCACCACAGGCCTTCAAGGATCGCTGTGGGATAAAGTGCTGAGCGTGAAAATGTAATCTGACTGCAACACAACCCATTAACTTTATCAGAATCAACGGTTGAAATCCCCGCCAGTCTCTTTTTTTTGTGTGCAGGAAATTGATTCAGTTTGCCATACGCCTTATCATACAAATTTGTTCTGGTTAAGTTGGGGAAAACGTGATCACTGGATATGCATGTATGTAGTGAAGGTATTTCAGGTGGAGCTGTTTTAAGGGAGACACAGATGAATCCATGCACCTTGGTGCAAAGAGTGTTGAACCAAGTCAGCGCAATGGTGTTCCCAAATATAAATGCACATTTTGCTGAAAAAAGCTGAGCTTTGCACGGCGCATTTGTGATTTTGAAGCACAAGTGAAAGGGAGGGGGTGCTCTCGTGGTGGTATGATGTTTGCCTCTCATTCAATAGGTCCCGAGATCAAAACCTGACAGCAAGGGAAAATTCTCGTCTCTAAAAGTTTTTTCTTTCACCTCTTTTCCTGCTCTTTAACCACATTATGTCGTCTCCTTTCGTCTCCGCTTTCTGCCCCCCCCCCCCCACCCCCTTTGCCCCTTCTTCTGGACCCCTGACTCTTTCTGTAGCCTTTCTACTGCTACTCTTTGACTCCTTCTTACGTCTTTCGGCCACACCCCTGATCTAAGGGTAAGTAAGATCGAATAACTTGCACTCTCGGATAAGGTCAAAAAATCTCATAGATCCCGTGTGCAAGTTGAGCACTTTAAAGATCCCTTGGTGGTCCAAAATCGGTGAGAGTATGTTTCGGCCACCACCAGAGGAAAATTCATAATTAATTCCTAGCAAAATGAGAATATGCTATGTGGTCCAGCGCTCATATGACCTTATTCAGTTGCGAGCGCCGCAAAACACTTACCAAACAAAGAAACAGAAAAGTAATTTCGAGCGGTTTCGCAACCCATTTGCCATCGACGTGATAACTAGACCTTTACAATTTTGCAGATGAAGCTCATACATCTTCAGTTTAATGGGGCATTAAAGGCAACGAACGACATTGTGGGACCCGCACGGTTCACTCATGTTTTCATTCCTGCAGCGATGCCCTGAATTCGTCTACATGCCGCTCGACCCTTGATCATGACTACAACAATTCTGTGTGAGCCGTTGTACTCTGTGATTAAGAGTACCAAAGGAACACACCGGAATCGTCTCACTAAGAAACAACTGCGGTCCGTCCTGAGAATTTTCACAACACAAAACCTTATTCCAAACCTAAACGAGCTTGTTTCCAAGAAAAAATACCAACAATTTTGTCTGAGAAATTGACAAAAGAGCGAAATTTTGGTGTGGCTTGATATATCAATAGCATTATTTCAATTTTTGTCAGTTTTAATTGATAATATCATTGTCTAGTTTTTCCACCTCTCAACCACAAATTATGTTATTTGAGTTTGAGCCCCCTGTGCGACTGAGTTTTACACTCCTGGTGTCGAGTCTCTTCCTCCTTTTCAGCACTCTTCTTTCTTTACTCTAAAGTTGGCTTTCACAATTTTTAAGTGACTCTCGTTGACTGCAATCAAGGGTCAGAAAATGTATGAAAATTTCTATGCAAAGAAAATAGGAAAACAATACCGGAAGGCAACACTTCCTGATGTACAGATAAGCATTATTATCAACCCGCTGAATGTGGTAAGCGTAAAATTTCATAATAATATTAATGAGTGTATGCCGTCCACATGGTATAAATTGATGTTATGCGTATTTTAAGCTATGAATTTCACAGTTAAGGAAACTTTTTGTGATAGTGCTGAAGTGAAAGAAGGGGATAGGTAGTTTATCATGAATGGTTTATTAAAATAGTACGTGCTTCTACATAATATTCTCTCCTCGGTACAGTCTTGTGTATCTTTTTCTCTTGTTCCAAGTTTAGCTCACTGAAAAGACACACTCTTACTGAAAATGTCAGTTAGGAATTTTGCTATTTAAAAAAATGAAAACTTATTAAGTCTGAATTATTCTTTCACACCTCGCTAAAATTGGAATACTTACTGTACATTGAAGAAATGCTATAATTTTGCCCTTTGTCTACTTCACGTACTCCTCCC